AAAAAAAAAAAAAAAAAACATGCACTAGTGTGTGGACTCTTTCTGCCAGCTTGCCAGGTTCAGTGAATCAACGCTCCAGTGTCCATACTACCAAAAACTTGAAGGGGATTCTGAGCCCCGAGCCCATTCAGTGTGAGTGAGGTTGGTGTTATTGTCCTGCGGGCCCTTGGCGTAGTCTCCCCAGTTGATCAGAGGCGAGGCTCGGCAAGAGGGCATATTAGTGTCAATGGCGCAAGGGTATACAGCAGTACGTCGTAGTCATATGAGTCATATGTGTATATGTACATGAAGTACGTTATACTGTTATTAAGTGCTGCGATGGGAGTAATTAATACCACACTCATGGCACGAAGTATTTCCGCAAGCTGAAGGTCCTGCAGCTGAGTGACCTTCTGACCAGGGCCGGTAGCTTGGGAAGTCAACAGAGCATAGTTGGTACTTGACCATCCATGCAAACTTCCACTCCAGGCACTGATCTTCATTCCATTATTTTTGTACTTCCTTATGAGCGCGCACAGGGCAAGCGCCTGCAGCTCAGCGTTTGTAGTGGCAGTAAATGTTGTTTTTGCATGTCTTGGCAGCCCTTGCCTTTTCCGTGAGAGATTGAGAATCCGCGAACACTTTGGTAGATCATTTGCGATTCCGGCATTTCGGTCCGCACGTGTATGGGTTTTGTTGAACTTGGCTTGTGGGCCTGCAGTTTGTGCAGGTCATGCCCAAGGTGACAGACGGCATTGTTCGATCCCTACTGCAACTGGCTGGGTGTAGTCGTAGGGTAGCTGTTAGCAGCAATGAGAGGTCAAGGCACTTTCCAGCAAGCCACTGGTTACCCTGGGCAACCTCGCGTTTCCCATCTTTGTTTTCAGCTCAGCGAATTTTGCGGCGCCGCCCTATCTTTCCAAACACGCTGGCCGACATCCTGCATCGGTTCAGGTTGTGCATGGCCCACTAGGGCAGGTCTTTTACAAGAAGGCACCGGCATGTCAGAGCCCATCCAGGCTTCTCCCAAATTCTCTGTGCAAGGTTATTGCAACAAAGCTCTTTGGTGGCACCATGTTGACCATCGTCGGCCCACAGTTCCAGCCTTAGCAGTGTGAACCTACATTATCCAATCCCAAGCCCTCCCGATGCATAGGGGCCAGCCTCAAACATTTGGAAGTAATCATCATGAGTGAAGATGTTCTCGATCGAAATTGAGGTTCTTCTACGCGTTTTTGGGCATTGTTCTGGTTTCTGCATGGGTACGCATCTCAGCCGTGAAGATGGCAGAAGATCTTTGCCAGAGAGTGACGGATGGATAGAGGGCAATGCAGATTGCTGATAGCTGGGCTTCTGCTAGAACAGATTTGAACAGATCCATCTGGTACCTGCAGGTTTTACAGAAGACATTCCTCATGAACAAGCAGGCAGGTTTCCACACAGGCAAGCAAGGCATGGCACCTCCGCTGCTACAGAGGTGGGCTCGATGTCGAAAGACTTTGTGGAAAAGGCATCGTCGCTTCAAACCCAGCTTCAAATACAGCAGCCTGGCGTAGGCTGTCTCAAGCCATGGCAGACCTTAGCAGACCAAGGTGGTTTTCATGAGTCAGATGGACTGACAGCGTGCCATCAGACCAATATTGATTTCAGTTTTTAATCTTTGCAACCACTTCCTCCTGCGAGTGGGATGCTTTAAGGACATGATCCAAGAAGGATCACTTCATTTCTTCAGAGTTGACAGAGCCACAAGGGCATTGCACCAACTTACTGAGCAGAGGACAAGAACGATTGGCATTTCACTAGCAACAGCCCGAATCCAGAACAGGAAGCGCATAACTTCCCTGGACTGACCAATGCAAGGATAGTTTTCTCAGGCTCACTCCACAATTTTTCCTTTTTTTGGTTCACATGCCGTAGATATTGCATGTTGGACATCTTATTTTGGGGAATAATACTTTTTTGATATCTTCGTATTTAGTTTATTCTTTGTATGTGTTTCTTGGCAGGCTGTCCCCTAACCTTCCAGCTGATCGTTTCCATAAGGATTTCGTAGATACGATGATAGGAGTTTCCTATGCAGGTCCGGAAAAATGGGAATTGGTTATTTTTCTCTTCGATTGATTTTGTGGGAGGGGTCAAAAATCAATAGAATAAATTTCAGATAGTTTTAAAAAGCAAAAAAAATATTGAATCTTAGATTTTTAATTTTCATATATTCGATATTCGGTTTATATATGATTGGATAGGAATAAATATGGAAATCTATAATTTCGCATTGGAAATATTTTATCATTCGAAAATTATAAAAGAAAAAAAATATATATATTACGAGATATCTAAAAATTATAATTTGATAATATGATACGTGATTTTTTTATCGGTCATAAGAGATGAAAAGGATAGATATTGGATTCTTGACGCAGGGTTTTTGATTGGAAAATGAAAATATATTCGCCAAAAACGATAATATATACCCCGAAAAATGGAAAACGATAACACACTCTCTAATTTTCTATTGACCAATTACGTAGATTTTAAATAAAAATCGTGCATCATATAATCTTCATTGATATAGGACGATTATTTGGGATTATTTTGTTCGTACGTGATTTGAATTTTCTAGTTTATTTTCAAAATATTTCTTGGAGATTCTTCAGAAATTCTAAAAGCTTCAGATTTTTTGGAATCGATCAAATCTCTGTAACGATTTTCTACATGATTTTTCTCTCTTGATTACGCGGATATTTGTAGACCGAGATTTTTTCGGAATTTATAGAAGGAGCGTATTTATTTACGGAGATTTATATATTCGTCTGAGTCGTTACGTAGAATTTATAGGCTTGGATACGTATAATCTTATATAATGATCTTTCGTCGGATTTCGCGGACAAATTTCTATAATCTGAATGCATCGGATTTTCTAGGATATTAATAATAGGGCGTAACTATTTGCGATGATTTCGTTCGTGCGCGATCTAATTTTTCTAGTTCTCTTCTAAAAGACTTCTTGCATTCTTCCTAGAGATTCGAGAATCTCGGAGATATTACTAGATTCTAAAATCTCTAGAGATTTCTAGCGCTATTTGCGCGACTAAAAATCTCGGAGATTTGAGGTCGCGCGGCCTTTGTTCCGGAACGAATTTCCCCGCGATATATTTTGTTTTGATTATCTGCTCGCGGAGCGCATAGATCCGAGACGGAGAATCAAAATCTTTTACGATTTATAGATTGGTCATATCTATCTTTAGGAATTTGGACGTTCTCTCGATCTCGCCACGAAGATAGCCTAAGAGAGATAATCAAATAGAAAGATTGGATCGGATACGGAGGTCGCGCGACCAAAAATCTCTCGAGATTTCGGATTATATCTCTCTCTTTGATTATTTGCGCGATGATTCGGGGAATATATAAGCCCGGGCAGAGATCCAAATTTTTTCGGAAGCTATTGATTGATCATTTTTATATTATATGATCGTCGGATTTCATAGAGCATCTTATATGGTCATTCTTCATAGGATTTCTCATTATGGATATTGTCAAATAAATATTTTCTATTTATAAAGGCAATGGATCAATTCTAGCATATATTGAATATATTATCTTTAAAAATATTTGATAATTAGGAATTTAATGATAAAGATATTGATGAAATATTCTGAAGAGAAGATCTAAGATAATTATGATCTGAAGATTATATGTCAAAATCATCGAAGATATGAAATATAGATTTCATATATTATAAGATTCTTAGCAAATTCAAGAAAAGAAATATTGAATTTCCTATGAAAATTCTTATTGAATAGAAAGATTTAGATGAAAATATTATGGATTTCTTGATATATCTTGAAAAATTGGATTCATAATATTCAAATATGAGAAAATCCAAAAAGATAAATTATAGTTCATTCTTATGATACGATCATTTCGCTCATATATGATTTAGAATTTCCGATTCATCTAAAAAATGTCTCTTGCGGACTCTCTAGGGATTCTAGAATCTCAGAAATTTTAGAATTTTTGGAAAAAGGAATTGCTAAAATCTTTGAGATTTTTGAGGCAGGTGACGCGATTAAAAATCTCGGAGCTGATCGTGCGAGCTTTGTTTCCGGAATGATTTTCCGCGTGATTTATCTCTCTTTGATTGTCTATTCGGCGGAACGCATAGACCTGGGATGGAGAATCTAAATCTTTTTAAGATATATAGATTGGTCGTATCTATCTTCCCAAATTTATCTATTCTCTCGATCCGTTTGCGCAGATAATCTAAGAGAGATAAATAAGGCGGAAAGATCGGATTGGATGCGGGGATTATGCGATCCGAAAATTCTCGAGATAATGAATCATTTCTCTTTCCTCGATTGTCTGCGCGGCGGTTCATTAAAGATCCGGGGTGGAGATCCAAAATCTTCCAGAATCTATTAGATTGGTCGTTTTCGATTACGTGCGTAAATAGAAATTGATTATTCGTCGGGATTCATATCCGATCTTATATCTTCTATGAGATTAATCTCTCTTTAATTGACGACGTAATCTTTCGAAGAAATACGTAGATTCGCAATGCAGAATTAAAATCTTTCAGAATATATAGATTGATCATATCAATTCTCAGAGATTTATATATTTCTCCGAATCGTCGTGCAGATAATCTAAGAAAGATAAATGAGGCGGAAAGATCGGATTAGATATGGGGACCGCACGATCAAAGATTCGTATGATTAAAGGATCTTATGATCAAAAATCTCCCAAGATTTCAAATTATTTCTCTCTCTTTGGATATCTACGCCATGGATCGGAGGAACGTGAGGATCCGGGGCGGAGATTTTAAATCTTTCAGAATCTATATATCATGCGCAGTCTTAAAATATTGATAATATGTCGGATTTCATGTGCAATCTTATATATTAATTTATCATCGGATTTTCCATTATAAATTTTCTCAAATGAATTATTTCTATTATTATAGGAAACGGTCCAATTCCAAATTTAAGATAATTCTATGATGAGATATTGGATAGAAATTATATGAATATGAATTCTATTTACTATAAAGAATATTCTATAGCTAGATATTATATATAAATATTATATTCGATTCTAATATAATATATATATAGCCAAAAATTGGATATTATAAAAATAGAAGATATTCTATGATTGATTAAGATAAATATTCTATAATTGGGCTTTATAATTTTCATGATTAGGATCTATAAAGATATTGCAAATATATATTCTATGATCAATCATTATAAAGATTATTTGATATTAGATATGATAGAATTCTTCCTTAATTATTATTATAATGAATTTCAGAAAAAAAAAATATTTAGAATAGATGTATTGAAAAAATGATTTTTCTTATTTCTTGATTTAAATGATTCGTAATTTTTGATGATTTCGAATCGTTTTTATAAATCTATTTCATATTTGGATATGATAAATATATCTTATCTAATATCAAAACTTTCTGAGATTCGTAAAAAAAAATCTCTATATAGAAAATCTGTTCTTTCCATGAATTTCTTTATTAATTTCATTGAATGAAGAAATAGCAATAATTAAGATATCTAAGATATATATCGAAAAAGATTGAATATTTCTCATTTATAATCGTTAATTTCATATTTGAAACGATTTCAATCGATAATTCTTTCTAATATATTGATGAAATAGAATGAATATAAGAATATATCAAATTTAGTTCAAGGAATAAATTCATATATCGGAAAAAAAATCGAAGGAATTGATCTAAATTTATCTATAGATATTCTAATTCGATATTAATTCTTTTATATATCGTCTTCGAAAATCTTCTAATTTTAAACGATTTTTTCTGGATTTAATCTTTTCCAATTTGATTTCATAGATATCTCGAATCGATTCCAAATTTACGAATAGGAAATATGAATGAAATGATAAAAGATATAAAATTAAGCATGGCATTCTAATGATAGATAAGATTCTCGATTCTATTCGAATTATGAAATGATGGAGCGGATTACATTATTTTAAAAAAATCATATTGGATTTAATTTTTGTCGGATTGATCTTAGAGGAAGGATAATATCATAAAAAGAATTAAATCGAGATTCAATTCTTTATGATTTAGATTTCTGGATTGATAATGATATATCGAAATTAATTCTGGATTGAATTATCTTTGATATGATTTTGAAAGGATGAATAAATTTGAAATGATTTTAAATCATGTTCTTATTCCAAGAATATTCGATATTTCGATAATTCTAAGATTATTCCAAGACCTAGATTGGAATAATATTGAATATCAGAATTCCAAAATCGATATATAGGATTGATGATATCAGAATTATATGATTAGATATAGAATTAAGATTTAGATTTTATTATTTTTGATTTGAGCTTATAAATGCATCTCAGGGAGATTTGATTTGATTTTATAGGCTAATTTAGTTCAAATAATCTCGGATCTCCCCTCTCATAGGGAAGGATTCTATTTTGACTCGAAAGAGATTGGATCAGAAATTATTCCAGGAATT